AGATGAGGAAACTGAGTCAGATATAGCTTCAAGAAATGGAGACCTAGGGGGCAGGGAGATGGCTCAGTGAGTAAAGTTACTTGCCTCAAAGCCCGAGGACCTCAGTTTGAACCCCAGGACCCTCATGGTAGAAGAGAACCTACTCCCCACAAGTTGTCCTCTGACCTCCACATGTGTGGATACACCCTAAGCTAATTTTTTTTTTTTTTGGCCTTTTTGAGACAGGGTCTTCCTGTAGCCCCAGCTGGCCTGGAACTCACTATGTAGACCAGGCTGGCCTTGAACTCACAGAGATTCGCCTGCCTCTGCCTCCTGAGGGCTAGGATTAAAGACATGCGCCACTACACCCGGCTTCCAAGCTAATTTTTAAAAATGGGTGGGTGGGAAAGCAGAGAGATGGATCAGAAGAGAGCTTGCTGCTTTTCTAGGTCCCAAGTTCCATTCCCAACACCTATGTCGAGGGCCTCATAACTACCTGTAACTCCAAGGGATCTGATGCTCTCTTCTGGCCTCCACAGGTATACACACACACACACACACACACACACACACACACACACACACACACACACACGACATACACCTACACCAGGGAAGGTGGTGGCACATGCCTATAATCCCAGCACTTGGGAGGTAGGAAGATCAGGAGGAGTTCAAGACCAGCCTCTTCTACATAGCCAATCCAGGCCTGCCAGGGCTACATGAGACCCTGTCTTAAGAGAAAGAAAGATTCAAAAAGGCTTAAATATGATAGAAATTGCATTTTCTCTCACATGGAAGTCTGAAGGCAGGCATCTTAGGGCCAGTATGGCATTTCTAGCCCATGGTTTTCAGAGACCAAGCTTTCATTCGGCTTACCAGTCTCCCACTTGTGTGTGGCACTTACCCTTATGATCTATAGTCCTCTGCTCTACCAGCTGAGCTATCAAAGGGCACACCATGGTCTAGTAGCAGCTGTAGCTAGTGGTCACATATTCTAGATAGGGTGGAGGATGGAACAAAGAAGGAACAAAGGGTAAAGACCTTTATTTTAAGATGTTTGTGACTTGCTCTATAACCCCTTGGCTTAAATGTTATTGGCCAGATCTTGGTCATGTGGCCACATGTAGAAGGGAGGCAGAGAAATGTAGGATTACTGTCAGGCAGCCGTGTGCCTGGTGAGCAACTGAGAATCCTATTTCTACGGAGACAGGGGAAAAGGATTCTGTGTTAGTTTTCTTTTTTCTGCAACAAAGACAGACCTGATAAAAACAGAGGAAGGGAGAAAGGGTTTATTTGGGCTCATGGTTTGAAAGGGCAGGGAAGCCATGGCAGTGGAGTGTGAGGCAGCTGGTCACATTGCAACCACAGTCAGGAGGCAGACAGGTAAATGCTGGTGCTCTGTTCACTTTTTCCTATTTATTCATTCTAAGACCCTAGCTCATGGGATGATCCTACCCACATGCTGGGCCAGACTTCCTTCCTTGGTGAAACGTCTCTGGAAACACCCTCATAGACATACCCAGAGGTATGGCCCTTAGATGATTCTAAATCCAGTCAAGATTAACCATCACAGATATGAGACAATTAACCGTTTCTGCTACAAGCATCAAGGGGCAGAACCAGGACAGGAACCAACATCTCCTACCAGCCTGGGGCTCTCTCACCCAGACACAGGAGCAAGACTAGATAGAGTTAGCACAAACCCATTTTCAAAAGCAAAGAGAGAAGTGACATTTGATGAACATCTCATTTACTCTCCCCAACAATGCTTTAAGTAGGGAGAATTTTCATTTTTTCAATTAAAGAGGTGCTGGGAGATGAGCCTTTGTCCAAGAGCACCCAGCTAATCCATCTCAGGATGGGGACCAGGTAGGGCTCCCTGCACACTATGTTACCATTTCATCAGCAGCTTCTGAGGTTCAGAAAGCGCCAACTTGTCCCTTAGGACCACCTAGCCAGGTGGCTCTGAGATAATGACCTGGAAAGCCTTGAACTTGGCATCTTTGGCTCCACTTATTATTGGGTCAGTTTTTAAGCTTGGCAGGTCAACAGGAAACAAAGTCTCCAGTGGAACTGGAATCCAGCCCCCAACTGGTGAGTGCCAAGTCTCTTGTGGCATTTGTGTCAGCTACTACTCTAGGACTTTAGCATAATTGGCAGGTGCCACCCCCACCCCATCTTGCCTCTGCCTGGTGGGGCTGGTGGTGTCTCTTGTCACCTGTCACCCCAGCCCCCGGTTCTCCTGGCAGCACCACAAGACTCAGAGTCTTCGGAAGTAACATTTCTCTCTCCCACTCCCAGCCATGACATTGGATCACTTCCCAACTCAGAGCAACTGGTTCATTATGTCTCCCTCAAACCCTTGCACATGCCCACTCGATGATCAAGTCCCTGGTCACCCTGTGACCTTCAGCTGCCTCCACCCCCATAAACCCCTTCCTCCAGCTTCCCTCTCCACCCACCCACCTCATGCATCTCTGAGCAATGGGCCTCGCCACAGGAGTCTGCCACATGCAAGGTCATCAGCATTCCTGCCAAGGATGGTGAAGGGGGTGACTCAGTTCCCGCTTGCTCATCTAGGGAAGGAGAATGAAAGAGAGGGAGGAGGGACCAGAAACCCATTTGCCTTTGCCTTAAGCTTCATCGAAAGGAGGACTTGGCTTTCCTGCCGGTGGACCTTCTGCTGTCTTCATGAACTGCAGAGAAGGTCACGCAGTACCGAAACCAGGCAGCACCTCCATGCAGAGTCAAAGAGTAAGGCGACTCCAGGTGTCCTGCTGTTCAGAAAAGGGTGGTTCTCTTTCATCCACAGTGCAGCTCCTGCTCTCAGGGAGACTGGGAGACTATAGTCTGCTGGGGAGGTGCAGTCTCTGCCCCAGGAACCCTCAGTCTGAAGTGACACCCAGCCCCTCCCCAGAGAGCATTCAATCTGTTGAGGGAGGCACAGCCCCCATCCCAGGTGCCCTCATGCTCTGATGGAGAGACCCAAGTCATGTCCTCAAAGAACCCTTGGTTTGGTAGGCTTGCTCTAGAGGCTTAACTCTATGGGGGAGACAAGATCCCTGCCTGGTTGAGTGGATGAGGGGCAGTAAAGACCAACAGCATGACCCCCAAATGGCCTGAGGATGTTGCAGACTGCCTTGAAGGTGGTGTGGGGAAGCCAAAGACCCCAGTTTTGTCTTAGAGTTCCTTTAAGAAGAATCAGTCTTGGGTGTTCCCAAAGACCAGGGTGAGAGGTCAGGGTGCCTGTGGGGCCTGAAGTCCATCTCTAACTGAGATGTCACAGATGTTGCTCAGAAGGGCAGAAGTGTGTCTTCTTAGCCACGGAAGTTGGGTGGACCTGCTGCCTTTCTGAGTACCAAGAGGGACCAAGAAATATCTGGTAAGAACAAGAGAGACCAGAGGACTCCTCCAAGGAGTTAGGATTTGGGAGGAAATCTGTTATCCAGATCTGAGCTGAGAACAGCCTGGTTGCTGGAGAAGGCAGAAAGGCAGGAAAGAAGAGGCAGAGTGTGCATGAGGGTGAAATGAAGTTATTAGAATGAACCCACCCCCTGTGCAGGCAGCACTGTGTGCTGGGAAGGCCGGGCCCTCCAGCTGTCGGCCGCAGCTGGCTCACCACAGGAGAGGAGTAGGAGGGGGCAGGTCAGAGTTCAGTGTTCACACAAAGGTGGGGATGGGGTTGCCCCACAGTTGCTGCTTCTTCCTCCAGACCCCACAGTCCTGTGGCAATTGCCCTGGAACAGTTTTTGATGAGAGGCACAGGTAGGAGATCCCTCTGGGTTCTAGCAGCCAAGGCCTCTCTGGGTGAGAGCCACAACCTAGGTCTCTCTAACTCTAATCACCTGTTCAGAGAGTGAGGCAGGAGTGAGCTGTGTGGGGGTGGGAGTGTCTTGAGTCTGCTCTGGAGAAATGGCTCCAAGATGAAGCAGGGCAAAACTGAAAAGGGAGTGTGGCCCCCCAAGACATCTTGTTTCTAGGTCACTTCACATAAGGTGGGGCTGCAGCCAGGTGGCTTCCAAACCCCTTAGCTGTGTACTGCAGAGGGTGGGGATGACTCTAGGCTCAGTGCTGGTGGGCAGGGGGCTAAGACAGAGTGTTCAGGTCATTAACCTTCACCCCAGAACTCTTCTCACTATGGCTATACTGCCAAAAGGGCCCCAAGGGACCTGAGCACTGACCTCCAAAGAGAGTGGACAAGAGGGGACACTGTGGCAGGGGCTCCAGTCTTCCCTTCACTGAGGCCCAAAGGTCAAGGATCCCCAAGTATCCAGTAATTCTGGTTGTCCCCAGTTGGAGGAGGAAGTGGCTACTGTCATGCCACATTGCGTCCCCATGCCACCTCAGCCTGTTCCTTCTCCCCCAAGAGGCAGATGGGAGTCACAGCTGGAGAGAGCAGGGAGGAATCTCTTCACTCTCAGGAGCGGGAGCCAAGCAAGATTGCTTAGAGGTCATTGGGCAGTTTTCAAAGCATGTCAGCATCTACTTGGGCCCAGGCTACAGATGCAGTGCCTCAGGCCCCACTCATACCTGCTGAATTAGGCAAGACCCAGAAAGCTGTGTGGGCTTCTGGGTGATTCTCATGGGCTCAAGTAACTCATGAGATAGAGGAAGAAACTGAAAGAGGCCAGCAAGGACAATGAACTTGGCCAAGGCCACACAGGAAAATACTGGCAGAACTGGGTACAACACTGGACATCTATAACTGCCTCCTGCAAGGGCCTACAGATGGCAATTCAGGGAGGATCAGGAGGGTGACGATTTGGCCTATTCTCCCCTTACTTAGTCTTCTTCCTAAGCTGCTTTTGCAGGTGCCACCCCCCCACTCCCCCAGCTCCATAAGCACCAGGCACAGGGTGTTTGGGCATCTGGCGCTGGATCTGACACTTGCAAAAGAGGGCAACCCAGAAGCTTCAGTGAGCCCCAGCTCTGGTGGCTGATGGAGGTCTGCAGTTCTGGTCCCTATTTGGGAAATACTGACCAGACAGGGGTCCCAGGTTCTTCTCCCCAGACAAAAATACAGTGCCCTGGGAAAGCTTTATTCCCTGCTCCACAGACAAGACTCTGAACACAGAAGTGACAGGGCATTTCACAAGACTTCCCACCCCTCCCCCTAACCACAGAAGACACTATGGAACAGTTCCAGCATGGCCACACAGTCCAGCCTCCTGCACCCCACTCAGCTTGTAGCCCCATGACCCAAAGAAGGAGGCCCCATCCCTATTCCAGAAAGCTTCAGTCTGACTTGAGGGGCTGGCTGTTGAGGAACCGTTCTCAGCAGGGGGAAGGGCAGATGACAGACACAGCACACAGGCAGGCTTCTGCTTGTGGCCTTCATGCTAAGAGGACCTAATAGTCCTGCCTCAGCTGAAGGATGGATGTGCCATCAGCAAGAGGGTGGCAGGAGCATAGCGTGCTGGTGGGAGAGGGGATTTTGTAAAGGGGTGGCCTGACTGGTGACCCATGATTTATTTGTCAAGACAGCAAAGGGCCAAGGGTGGGGGTACGATTACCACTTCAGCCTCAGTGCAGGGGGTGGGGGGGTGGAGGGGTGGGGGTGTCGGGGTTGCCCACCACTGGCCCCCAGGAAGCAGCTCAGCCATCTATCCTAAGTTGCCTATCTAGTGCCTACACAGATGGACTCTCCTGTCTGGTGCTGTCCTCTCTTGGGATGAAAGGGGAAAAGCCAAGGGTTACGGTGTTCTCCATGGCTTTATCTGGGACTACCTGGCCTGCCTGCCCAGGGGCCTCAGAACCCAGCATTGGCTACAGCTCAGTGGGAAAGCCCTGTAAGGCTGCCCAGAGCTGGCTCCTCTTCCATAGCAACCACAATCTAGCAACAGGTTGGGGCCAGAGCTGGGGACCCTTCCCCAACACTTGAGGTCTGGCCTGGACCCACCTGGCCTCTCCTCCTCTCCACCCCCTCCCTGCCTGGGGCCCATCCCTTCCCTACCCAGTGTCCAGCCAGACAACCTCCTGCACAGACCTCTGTGGCCTGCCCAGGTCACCCAGATGGGTAGTAAGGGGTATCGCTGTGGTAGTTGTAATCTGGGCACACCTTCTGCACCAGTCGATAGTCCGTACTGTAGAAGGCGATGTAGACGCACACGACTTTGAAGGGCTGGGAGCAGCTCCAGGTGGCTGAGCTTTGAGCATGGTCTCGGGAGCAGATCTTGGCTGGGTCGTGGGTACAGAGCGAGGTCTGGCGGCCCCGTTCTACCTTCTCCCACTCCATCCGGCAGTTGAAGATTTTGGAGGCCTTGGCTTCAATGAAAATCTGCTGTTCCTGGTGGAACTCCACAGCTTTGCTGGGGGGCACGAGGCTGATAGAGATGTTACCTTGGCCTGTGGCATTGTGGCGGAAGTGGACGCTGAAGGTCCCGTTGCCGTGGTCCACGATCTTTCCAGTGACAAGCAGGTTCAGGGCCACTGTCTTGATGTTGGAGTAGAAGTCACCCCATCCAAATATTTTCTTCACCTTGGTTGCAGGTGGGGGGCTTTGCTTAGGGCGGTTGGGGGGCTGCCCAAGAACACCCCAAGCCTCCCCAGGTGGAGCCAGCAGCCCTAGGAGTGTGGAATTGGCCAAGGGGCGGGACTTAGGTGAGATGTGGCCTCGCTTCCGAGGTACCCTGGGCCGAGGCTGGCCCTCATGGTCATCATGCTCAGGGTCCTCTGAGCCAGGGGGACCATCATCCTGACCACAGATGACCTATGGAGGGATTTGGAAAGAGAATTAGAGCCCGGTCCCCAGAGGACCCCAAGATCTGAGATCTGGCCCAGCACCCCACCACCAGCTATGTTGTCTCTGTCCCTGTCCCTTCTACTCTGACTCAGGCCGGGCTGAGGGGTATCTGCTGTTGTCCCCTTATGCTGGAGTCAGGTGTTCACCCTGGCTCTGTCACAGTCCCCTCTTCTATGATACTTGAGTCACCCACAGTCCTCTTATTGTCCTGTCTCGCTGCTATTCAAAATCCGGAAGGATGGTCAGGAATTCTCTCCCATGGACTAGGGCATCAGAGACAGATGAGGCCTTAGTGGATGGAAAGACTGAGTTTCTGATCTTGAGAAAACATCTGATGGCAGAAGCCCCCAGTCTGAAGGGAGAGACAGAGTCCCCACTGCTGAAATGTCCAAGCTTCACAGTCTTTGTCCTCCACGGGCCTGAGTCATTTTAGGGAGCCCTGAGTTATTTTGGGGAGCCCCATCCCTATCCTAGGAGCTCCCTGTCAACAGCAGAGGCACAGCTCCTGACTTTTAGGACATCCTAGTCCACTGAGTGAGACACCAGTCCTGGTCTAGGATAACTGCTGCCTTTAAAGGCAAAGATAGCAAGCCAATAAAATATGAATCCAGAACTTAATGAGAATCCTAGTCAATTACCAGTTCAGTTCAGGTTTTTTGAGGATGAGGAGACCAGACATGAATGCCACACCCAGCATGGCCAACTGTGTGGAAGCAAAACCCTTCTCTGAGGAACACTGGTGATGATGACATGCCAAAGCAGTACTTACATGATGGACCATTTCTTTCTTTCTTTCTTTCTTTCTTTCTTTCTTTCTTTCTTTCTTTCTTTTCTTTTGGTTTTTTTGAGACTGGGTCTCAGCTGGCCTGGAATGTGCTATGTAGACCAGGCTGGCCCTCTGCCTTTGGAGTGCTGAGATTAAAGGCATGTGCCACCATGCCCGGCCAAAGGACCATTTCTTATCAGTCCTATTTCATAGGTGAGGGCAACAAAATGTGGGATTTACATCACTACAAGGCCAAGGCCACAGTGTCAGTCCTTCCATGGCACCACACACTCTGGCCTCACAGACAAGATGTGCCTTTGCAAAAGACTTTTATCCAAGTTTCATTCCCACCTGGAATGTCCTGTCAAATTCTGCCAGGGCTTGTCCTGCCTCCACAGACTCAGCTATGGTGACAGGTCACAGTTTAGAAAGGCTTCCTGGAGGAGGCTGGGGACAGCCAGCAGGGCTCAGCAGGGCAACAGGGAGGTTGCCAGCTCCCTGAGATCAGTGGCCTGGTTGTGTGTTTGCTTGGTTTCGGACAGTGAGTTCTCACCAGTATGTCATGTCACCAGCGCAAGGGCACCAGCTCAGAGGCAGCAACTGGCTTGGTGGTGACATGGGTGGGGCTGAGGAATGCCAGAGGGGTTGGGGTAGGAGGCTTCAAAGGGGTTTGGACTTCAGGCCGTTTGTTCTGGCCTTGGCTGTGCCTGTGGCTATGTGCAGTGACCAGGCCAGTCTCTGTCCCACAGTCAAGGTTAGCCCTGCCTGCCAAGTCCCCAGTGCCCCCAGGGTGGAGAAGGGCAGGCAGGAAGGCTTGGTACAGGGCTGCCCGCCTGTGTATAATTGACCCGGGTGTTCACAGCTGAATGGTTGAGGAATAGGGAACAGGGTCAAGGGTAAGGGCCAAGCAGGGAAGGGCTTCCTCATAGTGGAGTAGGGGAGTAGTCAACTGGGATTGTTTTGCGGAAGGGGGCAGATCCAGCTGTGGCACTGAGGCTTCTCCAGGACAGACTGGGGCTGGGGCGGGTGTGGGGCGCCGGACATGGGTCGCAGGGGAGTTTAGCTCTGAGCTGGGGCCGGGGTTGGGTTCCAGCGTGTCCTAGGCCCCTGGGAAACCGCGGGTCGGCACCTGGGGAGCTGGCTCTGGGCGCTCCGCTCAGCGGCTGCGAGCGCCCGGGGCGGGAGCCGCCAGCCCAGGTCCTGTGGGGCTCCGGCTGCGCGCAGCCGGGAGAGGCGAGGAAAACAACAGGCGAGGAGGGAGGGAGCGGGAGGGACGGCAGGAGTCAGGGACGCGGGGGCCGACCCCCGCTAGCACCGGCTTGACGCGCTGGGGCCCCTGGAGCCAGCGGCTCTCTGGGCCCCAGGGGTCTGGGGAGAAGCCCGCGTCCCCTGACCTGGCAGGTCACCCACCCCACCCCCGTTCCGTGGGTCCTGGGATGCTACAGGAGGTCGGGTGATCCTTGGCGACTGGGTTCCGGGGGCCTTTTCCCTAGTGCCAGTCGCACCTCCCGCCACCAGCCGCGGAGTGGGTGGGCCAGCTCAGCACCTTCTCCCCGCCCCTATTAACCCTTCCAGTCCGGCCTCCGGCCTCGGACCCGCCCTCTCCCCAGCCTCCAGTGTCGCCTGCATCCCCGGGATGCCGGGGGCGGGGGGGGAGGGAGAAAGTTTCAGGGCTCAGCAGCTTCCCGCGCTCTCCCCATCCTTGGGCCCCCGCCCTGCGTCGCTCCGGGTGGACCACTCACCAGATAGAGGCTGCCCTGCACTAGGAACACGAAGCAGCAGCGGGTCAGTTGCATCTTCCTCCTCTGCTCTCGCCCCTTCCTCTCTTTTCCTTTCGGGGTCCCTGGCTCCCCGGGACTGCTCCTTCAGACGCGCTGTCCCATGCTCCAGTCCCCCGCGGCTCGCGGCCCTCCCTTCAGCCTGCCGCCCAGGACCGACCCCGCCCCCTTCGGTCCAGCTGTGCAGCCGCCGCCCCCTCCCCGCGTACTGCTGTGCGCGGCGTGGCCCCGGCTCCCAGTCCCAGATGCGCGTCCCGAGCGTCTCGAAGGGGCTCCAGCTGCGCGGTGGCTCCGCCACTCCAGACAGGCGCTCAGCGCCCTTCTGGCTTCCAGAGGCTCGGCTCTCCCAGATGTGCTGGAGACCTGCGCGCGCGCCCGTACCCGGTGCTAATTCTTCAGACCAGACGGCCCCTCCCGCCCCGTCGCGGCGCGCCCCCTGGCGGACGCCCCGGGCCTCGCAGAGCCGCGGCCGCCCGCTCCCCGCGCAGCGCCCCGCCAGACTGGAGCGCTCCTGGCGCCCAGGCGGCTCCCGCTTCCTCGTCCCTCCCACTGGCGGCGGCGGCGGTAGCAGGTATGGTGAGCCCAGTCGGTACCTCCGGAGTTAACTCCTCCCCTGCCGGCCCGCAGTCCGGGAACCTGGGACGCTGACTTTCCAGCAAAGAGAGCAGGAGGTGGACAGAGAAGCTCTGGGAGAGGAAGCGGGAGGCTGGGAGAAACGTGAATGGGGACACCAGCTTCTCTGCACTTCTGGCAGCGGGCCTGTTTTTCAGTAGCGGGCACCTGAAATCTGCTGCCCTACCCCCATCCCTGGGAGTTCTGAAATTTGGGGAGACAGTTTTGCCCAGTTCCATTCTAAGGGCTCAAGGACATCTTCACATCTTCTATAGCTTATCTAAGCTGTCAATCCATGTCTCACTGCAAGACTTAATGAGGTACTGACGGAAGTTCCTCCAAGTGTCTAGCCTGCATCCTTATCCTTGGCACGTCTGTTCCTTTCCTCAGAAAATCTTAGGACCTTAGAGCAATCACTGGGAAGCATTTGGTTGAAACTCTGGGCTGAAAAAAACCACTAGGCACTGGGCTGGATTCTGGGGCTGGAGTAAGGGTGAACCTCTTGAGGAATACCGGAGTGGGTGGGGTGAACAAGGCCTCACTGGAGGCTGTCCCTCCATTCTTCTCTACTCATTTCCTGTGACACAGGGGCTCACCAGGCTGAGGAGGGTCCCATCCCAGTGGGGTCCCAGGTTGCCCTCCAGGGTAAGAAAAAACAAGCTCCAACAGATTTCCCAAAGGCCCACTCTCCATCACACTCACTCCTGATGGCCAAGTCTCCTTAGCTCTCTAGAGCCTCTTCAGTCTTTAGAAAAACAAAAGATCAATCCTAGTACCCCTTAGAGACTTGTGAGAGTGAGGAGGTGCCCCAGCTTCTCGAGTAGCCCCAGCCTGGGCTGGGCCTGTAGAACAGCATGGGCACTCTACTCTGTGGCCCTCTGAGGTCCAGTGTGGTCCCTGCCTGTAGCCCCCCAACCCCCACCCCCAGCTCACATCTAGCTGCCTCCCCCACCATCTGCCAGGCAGTGCATGGGGAATGCAGATGAATCTTAATACCAGCCTGGGCCAAGTGAGAAGGAGAGACTGCAGAACCCAGGCAGCCTCCCTGAGCCCCCTGCTTCTGGGCACCTGGGCCTTCCTAGGGCAGTAACTGCTCTTTCAGGTGTGTGTGGTGTGTGTGCTAGCTCAAAGACCCCAAGCCAGGGGAGGAGGAAGGAACAGGTATATTTTTGTCTGGCCTGGGAGCCTCTGGTCCAGCTGGGAGGAAGAAGCTGTTGATCTGAGCGTGGGCAGCTAGTGCTGGCTCTCATCTAGGCAGAGGCATAGCTGGGCCCACTCCTTGTCCATTACAGGTCTTGTCCCTGGGAGAGTAGTGTGGCCCTGCAGAACCAGCACTGTTTTCAAGCCAGATGGTTCTATATTCTACTCCAGACCGGGACCTGCTGTGTGACCTTGGGTAGGTTGCTTCGGCTCTCTGATGGCAGTTTTCTGATCTGGTATTTCGAGAGGGAAGGGAGATGCAGTGTGCAAACAAAGTGCAGGCACCATGGTGGGCAGGCATGTGGGAGTGTAACAAAAGGAAGGGCTTACTTTGCTTTTACACCTCCCACACATTTGCTCTGGCTGCTCTTCCTGCCAGGCTTGCCCTCACTCCCATCTTGGTCACTCCTGGCTCTCACTTCCTTTAAGTTTCTCCTTTGCGTTCATCCATCAGCCACTAGCCCAGCCTGTCCTGAGTGCCAGGCTCCAGGCCAGAGGCTAGGATACAGAGATGAATGGGACACCGTCCCTGCCCTCAAGGATCTCCTCAGCCAGTGTGTGAAAATCGATCATTACAACTCACTGTGGTGAGTGGAATAACACAGCCCCCATAAGGCGTTCTAGAAGTGCTGGGGAAGAGGGGGGATCGGCAGGGCTGACTTTTTAGGGGAGGTCATGCCCTGGAGATGAGGAGCAGTGGGTTGGCAAAGGCTCTTCCTGAGGCTAGAACTGGGAGCAGCTTGTTTGCTATTCTGGGAACGCCCTTTCCGGGGAAAGAAGGGAGGCAAGGACCAACCATTGGAGGCCTTATATGTCAGCTCTAGGGGTCTGGACTCTTGTTTATGAGGAACACTGGAAGGGTTTTAAGGGGCTGATTACGGTCCAATTTGCATTTTGGAGAATTCACTAGAAAGAGGAACATCTATCGAGAGAGGCAGGGGAAGGAGGCAATTAGAAGACTGGGGTTAGGGGGCATGAAGATATCCTTTGCAGGAAACATGAAAAAACACATGAGATTTTGGTTGTTGCTGAGGTGAGGCAAGCAGAGAGGGAGAAATGGATGCCCCTGGGGTAACAGCTGGATGACAGACTAGGGGGAGAGTGATATCTTAGAGGGTTCAGCTTTGTCCGTGACAAATCTGGGTGCTGTTGGCCAGTGAAAGGCAGTAGAAAGTCTAACCTGAGGTCTGCTGCAGGAGATGTAAGCACCCTGGCATTTTATTTATTTATTTTCCTTTTTTCTTTTTTTTTTTTTCCAGAAAAAGGGTCTCCTTGTAACCCCAGCTGGCCTGAAACTATTATGTATATTATGTAGACAAGGCTGGCCTTTAACTCACAGAGATCTACCTACCTCTGCCTCCTGAGTGCTGGGATTAAAGGCGTGTACCACCATGGCCGGCAACCCTGGCTTTTTAAAAGTGGGCAAAAGAGCTGAAAGTGGTGACACATGCCTTTAATACCAGCATAAGAGGTAGAAATCGAGGCTGGCTTACTCTACATAGTGAGTTCTAGGCCAGCTGGGGCTTCGGGGAGCTCTTATCTCAATAAAAGCAACAAACAAACAAGAAACAAAACAACAACAACAAAAAACTGGGCAAAGGACCCTCCTGGGCAGAGCAAGCAATCAGGGCAACGTGTGCATGGGGCCGATTCTGGAAGCTGCAGGAGCAGGAACTCTCACCTGAGGGTGGGAAGCAGAGGGGTCATGGGGCTAGCCACTGCTATGCACATTCTAACCTTCCCCGCTGGGGAGATGGGAACCCAGGGCCACACATTTCACAAGACCCTGTCCCCCAACTAGGGTACACAGAGGTGATCTTTAACCATCTCTTTGAAAAGCTGGGGATATAACTCCGTTGATAGAGTGCTTGCCTAGTATGCACAAAGTCCTGGCACCCCATAAACCCAGCATTGTGGTGTTCACCTATAATTCCAGCACTTGGGATTTAGAGGCAGGAAGATCAGAAGTTCAAGGCCACCCTCAGCAATATAGCTACACAGTGATTTCAAAGCCAGCCTGGGCTACCTGAGACTGTCTCAAAAAGAAAAGGAAAGCTCTGGAGTAGGGGATGTCAGGAAAGAGTACATAATCCATAACACAAAGGAATAGAGGGACCTGGCAAGGGAGAGAGAAAAAGCAACCCCTGGGTGCATTGAAAGCCCTCCATCAAAGGGCAGGCCAGACACATTGCATACTGAACAGAGCGCCATGACAGCAGCACAGGCAATGATGCCTAGGGTGTGCCTGCCACTCAGACTCACCTCTCTGTATGCCCAAGCCCTTTCCCCACCATCCTTTGCACACATTAGGTGCTTAAAGAAGGGAGCAGGGATGACTGCACTAGGCCTGAAGCCCCCAGCCTTGTCTGTATCCACATGCCACCTGGTAAGGGCCTGGTTGGATATTTGCTCAGCACCTCCTCATGCCCTCACCTGCTTCTAGAAGAATCCTATCTATGTGGCTGGCCTCCTCCCACAGTACAGCCACAGTAGAACAGCACAGTGGGTCCCTGATCTGTGCTCAGCAAACGAATGGAAGATGGAGTTTCTGACTGAAGGGCAGATAGACAGTGAGTCTATCTTGAGCCTACTGACTGGAGAAGTCTGGGGAGAGGTGAGACAAGTTCATAATTGTCAATAACCTCTCATGTTTAGCTGGCAGTTTGCAATTTTAAAGTGTTAGGATAGAGCATTATGTATAGGATATTAGGGAGGCCCAGAGGGGAAACCATACTCAAAATGGGGGGTGTGGGGAAGCATGGATCTTAGAGAGATGAGTGGGAAATGATGTGTGGATCAGGAGGGGAAGGAAAGAGCCTTCCAGGCAGATGAAGCAGCTTGGGGAAAAGCCACAGATGAAAGAGAGCCTGGGAGTGGGGTTCTGAAGGGGACCAGATAAAAGAGTCATTTGTTCCATGAATAGTTATCAAGTGTCTACTTTTATGTCTAGCCCGGGCTGGGTGTGCGGTATGGATCTGGACAGGAGACCACAGTCCTCATTTGCATGAAGGATGTGGGCTAGGAGAGAGACAGGTGGAATGTCTAAGATGGAATGCCCAGGCTCTGAGACACTGACAAGAAGCATGGGAGAAGACCAGTTCCAAGAAAGAGGAGGGGAGGAAGGTCCTTATGTACCAGGGGTCAGAGCCTAGACGTCTTAGTGCATGAGGAGTTGGAGGAGGCAAGTCTGGGGAAGACAATGAGAGTGGACCAAAAAGAAGAGATGCGGTGCAACAGTGGATGGGGGTGGCAACTAGCATGTGGAGGTGTAGGACTTTGCCATGTGTTTCACTGGGGGGTGGGGGCTTGGTGTCTTTGGTTTTTGCTTTGCACTCTGGAGACAGCACCAGGAAGGCCATCTTGGTCTTTTTAGAGGCTGGTGAGCTGGGAAGAGCTGGGAGGTGATGGGAACCTGAACTAGGGCAGAGATAGGGATGTGAGAAAAGGGTAATGGGGACAGGAGAGGAAGACTGGGAAAAGTGTCTAAGAGGAGGAGCAGAGGGGTTAGATTCAAGGACATGGGAGACAAAGCATCAAAACTGACCTCTAGCTCTCTGGCCT